CGCCATAGTGTTTGAAGTCACGGCGATTGCCTTCGCAGATTCAACCAAGGCTGCATGAGGAGCCTGCTGCCACCCACATTCTCCCAGAGCAACTTATGAAATCCAAAACCCTGAATCATAGTTTCCATTTTCTTTTCCATTATCCCTATATAACCCCCCAATATACACATGCAGTATGAAGGGTAGCACAGGCATTGGAATGTAATAGAACGCCACTGTGACCAAAGGGCCCGTTCCCGAGAACCCAGCAACCATACCTGATGCAACACGCGTTCCGCAGGCTATACAGCACTGAACAGCCGTTCAGCATACCGCCGCAACATTTCCGTGAAGACATCTGCTTGACCTCTGACTGAATAGAACAGGTCGCCAAGAGTTAACCCTAAGCCCTAAACCCTAAACCCTAAACTCTAAACCCTAAACCCTAAACAGGCCAGAAGAACGTAGTTCCCCCAAAGCCCGAGCCAGTATTGTTGCTTAAGGGGGTACAGCCTGCCCATCATTTCCGCAATTTTTGGCGCTGTTAGCAAATTCCCCTTGATAACCCCTATAATGGTCCCCTATATAATACCCTATAAAACCCCCATGAAGGAGTTTAGACTATAGTTCGTATACCCCTCTCTATAAAGTCTGCCAGCCCAGAGTCCTCGTAACTTGGTTTTCATACTGTAGACCCCTGGTTAATGAACCCCCTCCCCTTAACAGGGATTAGAATAGGGATCCTAATATTGAGGCCCTTAAAAGGAGGGGGGCTTATAGTCATGGGTCTACAGTATGAATTCTACTTCTGGCTCCTCACAGCAGTTGCTGTATAATCTCTCGTTAGACCCGCTTAGTTCAATTCCTTCATTCCCAACCTTAAATACTGTAAACACTACCCCAAAACCTCTAAATTTCTAAGCCCCTGAACCCCTAAACCCTGAACCCTACACCCATCTAAACCCTGAACCCCTAAACCGTACAACCCCAAAAACCCTACACCCTGAATCCTAAACCCCTGAAACCCTGAACCCCTACACCCTACAACAAACCCTAAGTCCCCGTCGTGGCAGGTCTTCTTCATGGACGCCAGGACGTTTCGATGCCGCTCCTTGCTGCCGTCGCAAGCCTTCGAGCCTCAGCGCTCGGGAGATCTAGGGTTTAGGGTTTAGGAATTGAGGGTTTAGGGTTTAGGATTTAGGGATTAGGGTTTAGGGTTTAGGGTTTAGGGATTAGGGTTTAGGGATTAGGAATTGACCCCAAAAGTATGTAGAATAATGGAAAAGCAAATGGAAACTGCTATATCCTTTCGGGTTTAGGGTTTAGACCCCAAAAGTATGCAGAATAATGGCCTTTTGGGTTATATTTAAGGTTTTTTGGGCTAGATTTTTTCCTATTTTGGGGGTCCAGGTAGGAATTGAGGGTTTAGGGCTTAAGGGTTTTAGGGTTCATGGATGGACGCTTTGGAGATGTAGTTTAGGGCTTCATGGCTAATAGATTTGTGGCTTTAAAGTTTAGGGATTTAGGCCTCAGCGTTTGTCTCTTTCAGAATTGGGGCTCAGGGCTCAGGGTTCAGGAGCTGAAGGTCCAGGAATTTAGGGTTGTGGTCTGAGGTGGCAGTTGCTCAACATCAAAATACCATTGCGGACCCCAGGCACACCTAAACTCTAGACCCTATAAACCCTGAGTCGACTCCTGGGGTACCCTTCAGGAGCTATTCAGGGACAAGCTTTACAGACTCCCGCTTAGGGTTTAGGAGTTTAGGGTTTAGGTTCGGATTCTGTGATATTGCCTTGGCAAAGTCAAGGGAGTATAAGAATGGGATATTGAATGGCAGGAGTGAGCTCTGGAAAGCATTGGATACTATGTAGCATGTTGGAAAGATTACCTGGACCTCAAAAACAGGCAGCAACAACAACCTGTGAAAATTACGAAAAGTGTTGCAAACCCTGAGCCCCAAACCTCAACCCTAAACCTACATCAGTGCACGAATGATTTGCCGCGGCCGGTTTGACGTCCGAGGACAGTATATAGGTAGATGCTATGAAGCACTGGCGAACTTGCAAAGAGAAAACGTTACCATAACACAGACTAGATGGAATCTGGCCTGGAATCATCATCAATATCAGTTCAACTGTAAAAGGGGGGGGGGGGCTCAGTAAGCAGCAATCCTGTCAAGTCTTCTTATGACATCCCCACTTAGAGGCTCATGGGATTGAGCAAGTAGGTTATAAAGCGGGCTCTAGTCAGGCCACCTCCAATTCGGGACTCAGACGCGTTTATTGTTTAGGCAACCCACTGAAAACTTACTTAAACTTAAAAGACTCTTAAGGCCGAAGCTCTAAACCAAGTACTTGCCTAGATCTGATCTCCCTATATGAGCTATAGTCTAAACTCCTGGTACCACACCTTAATCAGCACAGGTAGATCTACACGGTTTAGGGTCCAGGGGCAGTATATATGAGGATTAAGTTCAGGGATAATATACATATATATATATCTATACATATATAGAGCTGTATATATGTATATTTACATATATATGTACATACATACATACATATATATATATACACATAAAAACCATAAGCACGTCCTTCGGGAGGTTGAGTTGTTCGAGCGTATGACAGTCTGGGACAAATCCAACAGCCAAGAGAACACATTGTCTACAAGTAATGGAATAGCAACTGTCCGTCTCATTAACCTGGCTAAGGCACCCGGACCCTGAACCCTCAACCCTAAACCACCTGCGGCAGAGGGGATTATGGACCAAAGTTCACTAAACCCTGAACGCTAAACCCTAATCCCTACCCTCCTGCGCAGCAGGACCCTTGGCCTTCAGTTGCAGTCAAGCTACAAGGGTTGGGGGCTTAATTAAATTGGCTCAGATTTTCAGTTCAGAGTTTAGGGTTTAGGGTTTGGGGTCTAGGGTTTATGGAATTGGGGGGTTGAGGAGTTTACTTCAAACAAGAAGCGGGAAGCAAACAATGAAGGTTTCCATTCATCATATAAGCTATTATCTAAACTCCTAGTATCCCCCTGAACAACCCCTACTATACTTCCCTATATCATGCCCTATATACCCACCTTTAAGAAGTTTAGACCCTAAACCCTAAACCCTAAATCCTAAACCCTAAACCCCAAATCCTAAACCCTATGTAATCCCCTATATAACCCCCCCTTAAGGAGTTTAGACTATACAGCTCATACAAACACTCGCCAAGCGAGTTTACCCCTCCTCTGGCCGAAGCCCTCCTGGCAGACCCGCCTCCCGGCCAACCCGCATGAGTGTATAGTCCACCTTAAGTAGATAGAATAGGGTTTAGGGTTTAGGATTTAGGGTTTAGGGCGGGTTTGAGGTTTAGGGTTTACAGTCCCCCTTAAGTAGATAGAATATGGCTTTGGGTATATCATGATAACATCCCCATATACCCCATATTCTACCTACTTAAGGGGAACTATCAGATGTCTCAACGTAAGCTTCGCCCACCCTCGGGGGCTCGGGGAAAAGGATCAGTGTCATGGCCGTTTAACAGGGAGTATATGGGGATAAAGGGTAACAACATGGAGTTTTCGTCAAACCGACCCATGCGTTATTAAAATTCCAACATAGCCTAAGGCCACTTGAAAGCACAGTGGTTACACTGGGGATATATCGGGATAATGGAAAATAAGATGGAAACCGTATTGGGGCAATATAGGAACCTCTGTAGTTTATTGGGATAACATGGTACTTTCCCAAAATGAGGGGACCCCAATGTAGACCCCAAAATACGATAATCCTTGTTATGGGGACCCCCAAAATGGTACCCCTAAGTTTGGGAAACCCACATATAGGGGATTATGATAGTGCCCTATATTATCCCCTATATAAGCCCCCTTTAAGGAGTTTAGACTATAGCTCATGTAGGAATCTCCCCATTTCACGTCGACTGATGTTCTTCGGGACGATACCGTTGCGCGCAGCAAACGTGGCGCAATCTGTACATGGCGCGGCGCAGCTGCGCGCTCGGCCCATCCTAAGTTGCTGTTAAGGAACTTGAAGCAAGTTACTATATTGGGGTTTAGGGTTTAGGGTTTAGGAACTTAATTTAAGTTGCTATATTGGGGTTTAAGGTTTAGGGTTTAGGAACTTAATTTAAGTTACTATATTGGGGTTTAGGGTTTAGGGTTTAGGAACTTAATTTGAGCTACTATATTGGGGTTTAGGGTTTAGGGTTTAGGAACTTAAATGAAGTTACTATATTGGGGTTTAGGGTTTAGGGTTTAGGAACTTAAATTAAGTTACTACTTTATTGGGGTTTAGCGTTTAGGGTTTAGGGTTCAGGAACTTAAATTAAGTTACTATATTGGGGTTTAGGGTTTAGGGTTTAGGAACTTAAATTAAGTTACCATAATGGGTATATATAGTAAATAATAGGGTTTCCCCCAATATAGTAACTTGAATTAAGTTCCTTATCAGCAACCCAGTTTTGTGTGTGCGCGCCTAGCCTTCTACGA